TTTCCAATCTGAAGTTAAATGCTGTCAACAACCCTACAATAATCAGGAGACTGCCCTCCTGAGAAATAATGACAGCATCAGTCATTTGCTGTGAGTGACGCCAGCAGCTGTAGGAGTTATGACTCTTGTTTAGTGGGAGCAAATGAGGAAACATTAAACACACGTTTTTTTTTAACCGTGACCACCATCATTCGCTAACCTCAACCGCCTGCTTATTATTATTGTAACCATGGCGACGAAAGTCATCTGAAAACAAACCATGATCTTTATCTAAACCTAACTAAGATGTTAGTGATTTGTAAAACTGACGGGGGCCACCAGATTAAGGAATAACCTGCTATAGGTGATGCGGATTAGGGATGCAGATACATTTTCAGCCAATCAAATGACCAAAAGCAGTTAACATGAAGTGAACCTGGAGCTTATTGTGGCCGGAAGACACAAGTCCAGGAGACTGGTGTATTAGGGAAATTGGATTAGGAAATGTTTCTGTGGTGGATGATGCGTTTAGTCAGTTAGTTTGGAGGAGTTGTTGCTTGACCAAACTCTATTCCTACATCCAGTTTCTCTCACAGTGTAAATGTCACTTCCCCTCTGTTCTTAAAAGGAGCTATTTGTAACTTTTGCTTTTGCTACCAGAGGAAACAATGAGAATTCAGCTTCAAGCTTCATTCCTTTCGCCAAGAGCTGTCTCAGGCAGTGGACAGCAACGCTAATGTTAACTCTTGTCACTATCATATCTTTTCTTCTACTGAAGTTAGCACGCTAAGCAGCTAGCCCACTTTCCGATAGCAACTCACGGTAGCCCCCACTCTGCCCTGATGTCGTAAAGCTCCTCAGACAGCGTATTATAACCTATTGTCTTGTAAACGCAACAATGGCCGAAGCTCCTGTCAAACGACAATCGTCACCACCTGCTCCTGGCAAGAAACCATGTTCAGTGGCAGAGAAAATTTACTATAAATGGACCATTTGGATTGTACCTGAACACATATATGAATTCAATTTCAAAAAAGAAACCTAATCTAGAAGGGAACAGAACAGTCATGTTCACAATTTATTTTGTTATCAACATGATGAGAAAATGCTAATTGACATATCTGACAAATTGCAAAATGTTGATGCTGAACGTACCGATAAAATGTTCTCTGACAGCTCATTTGTTTTAAAACCAAAAATCTTGCAATACCACATCTGCAGCTTCAAATGACAATGCAGTAAACATGTTGTGTCTAAACGTACTTACACTCAGACACACCATGCTCCACTAATACAGCGAATCCACTCAGGCCACAAGCCACAGAACAGCATCATGCCCAGACCCACAACCCCGTCTCCTAGAAATGAAGCTTATTAGCTGCTAGTTGGTTTTCCCTAATCATGTTGAGGTGAGAAGTTTGATCAGTGCCAGGTTGATGTTCAGAAAGAATGTTTTTGGAGTCGATGGCAGATGGGTTGGATTGTGGGTGCACAAAGCGAAATCATCAAGTGCTGTGAGTATCTCAACATCATCGTATAAGGATGTGTCATCATGCTTTCGTTGCTGCAAGTGGAAATTTACTGACGCGTTCACTTGGTTCACTATCAATATACAGGACCTTAATTGTAACCTTTCCTGAAAACATTGATAGAAAACATAATCTGGATGTCACTACATTTCCTGTTGCAAGTAAGTTGACTTTCCCTGAACCAAATCTTGGTTACTAGAATGGAAAGGACCCATTACGACCTCTGATATAGCAAGCTGTTCAAACCAAATACAGCAGCTTTTTTTGTGCTCCTTGTATGTATCTTCTTTAACCTTTTTCGATGAAGTCCATGCTGCTGCATAGAGTTCTCCTCATTTTATTTCATTTCTTCAACAGTAACCGTCAGATAGTAGGCTGTGTTTAGGACCCTGGGAGTTAATCACTTGCTAAGGCGGATCTTCAGGTGGAGGGAAAGAGGAACATGTGGACTTTTGTAGGAGCACATAGTCAGAGATTTAAGACCAGGAAGACCTCTTGTGCAGATCTCTCTGCCAGCTGTGACACCTCTTCAAAGACCTGAGTGAATTATTGAACACTGCACGGTGGCTGGCAGCCCTCCTGACCACAGCGGAGGCAAGAAGACAGATGGCGTTTCTACTAAATGATTGACCCGACGTTGCTCCTGGCATTTTGAATCCCATTTGAATCTCCAGTCTGAAATCCTTTTGGATTTGTGAAGCCGTGAGTCATTCTACAACCAGGCACAGCTCTGCCACTCATCAATTCTGTATAGTAAAGCTTGTTTCTTACATGACAAGTCAGATTTTAATACATTTCATATGCTAAATGGGGTAACATATTCACCTGCCTATGAGCTATTACCGAGGAGGAGCAGCAGGGATTTGTGTCAGCCGGTCATGTAATTTTGATGGTCCATGTGTCGCTTTGTTGTGCTCAGCGTGCAATAAAAACCCAAGCGTGAAGTGGACAAAAATGTGGGAGTGATGGATGGATGTGTTGAAGCAGAGACTGATGAATATGATCGGAAAACCATAATAGCAAAGAAATGAAGTACGAGAAAGAGTGTGACATATGCAGGAGATGTGTGGGAGGGAAGAAATGCTTTTCTTTTCCTTTTCTTCAGAGTTGGCCTGCTGCCTTTGGGAGGGAGGAAGATTAGAGGACTGTTTGGAGTTTGCCTTTTTGTTGTGGTTCTGAATTCTCACCGTGGCCAAATACAAGCCTTCGGCTGACTCAGGCTGTTAGCTTGATGCAGCCTTTTATCCACAACTATCCCAGGTTATCAACTTGGCTTTTTGGTAGCATGCAGGGAGCCCGGGGAGAGCTTGGTTGATGGTGGGTGGTGATAACATTCAGTAACATTTTTTTTTACTTTTTTCTCAAGCGTAGCCTTTGGTGTCTGGAACCAAAGACTGATTCATATTGGTCTTTGTAGATAATGTGTTTTAGGATGTCCTTAGCACTGTGTAATTGATCTGCTCTGGGTCATAGTAGCATTTGAAATCCCTCCAGGTCCTTTTCAAATCCTTCAAACACAAACCAGCTATCTGGCAAAAAAAAAAAAAAAAAAAAAAAAAAAAAATCAACATCAATACATCATAACAGGGTTTTTGGCCTCCGTCAGTCTGCAGCAGTCCTTCCCAGGTCCAGGCAGAGTTTCACGACAGGGCTTTTTTACAGTGTAGCTCATTTCATATAACAGCATAATGAAAATTAAACATTCAGGATACTTCTGACTAATCTGATCCGTCCACTTTCAAACAGAATATGAAATATACCATCCTCTCGGCAGGAGGTTTACCGTGTAACTACTGACAGATATCTACAGATACGTATCAGTTTGCATGTTGCAGAGTAAGACCACAGGCAATCAGTCCGTCATGTCATCTGTGGTGGTAACTGCACTAGATTGTTTAGCCTAAATTTAGCCTTTTAACCTCTCCCCCAGGCAAAAATAACTGGACACTGTACTCAAAGATGGCACCCACTCACTTGAATGAAAGTTGGGTTGTGTGGCCCACCGCACACGCTCTTAACATTTCTCCTGCTGGCCAAGCTTGGGTGTCTTTACACTGGGATGACGTCACACACTTTTTTGCAAATGTAAAACCTTCACGTAGTAAAAAGATCTAAATCAAAGAGTAATACATGACCTTGTTTGCAGTTCGACGTGTCCTGTCAACAGTTTTACAAATGTCCCTCTTATAATGGAGGTCTACAGGGAAAATGATATTTGGGTTGCAGGGGTTTTTTCTTTTTCTTTTTTTTTTTTGCTGCAGTACCAGTAGTAACAAAGGCAGCGCTGTATCAACCCTTTTTAACACATCCATGAAGTACCTGGGCGAAATGGCACTACGCCTGGAGAGGATCTCTGTCTCTGTCAGAAAAGCTCCTTCTCCTGCCGGCTTCAAAGCTAATTGAGCACATTAAACTACAAACATGGAGCCAACACACCAAGGCTTCATGTTTAAGACTTTGTCAACAGGATTTTCTTTCGACAACAATGACACCGAGGCAGGAGTATGTTAGACATGAAGTGACATCGTCAGCTGAGAGGCAACAGGGGTGTGTGTTCATTAGCAGAGGAGAAAATATGATCCTGACAGCAGCATCACTGCAGTACTCCATCCTTACTTAAAATTCATCAGGAGTGAACTATTCAGTCAGAAAAAAACAGTGTCATTATTACAAAGTACATTATTGAAACTTGAGTAAACTAAGTACAAGTACCTCAAATTTGCATATGCTGCTTCCTCATTAAAGTTTCACAGTTAAACTTCATGCCTTGCTCAAGGACTTCAAAGCTGGGAGGGGTTTTAAAACTATCAACCCAGCCCTGTAGAGTAGTCCTCCTGCTCACTATAATATATACATATATTGCAGATAAGTAAGATGTCTGTTCAGAGCAGAGCTATGATCCAGGTGGAATTCATCCATATTGATGTTCCTCTAATAGAGTATTCATTACTCATTAGCAGCAGTCAAGCTGTCAAATCAATGAGACCTTTGCTTTAGTAACAAGCCAGAGCCAAAGCAAACCCCTTGTTTAGCATCGGCAATACAAACTAGACAATCAAATCAGGGCTATAAATCTGAGACTGACACCGAGACTGAAACGTCATAACCTTGGAGTCGTTTAAAATGGATTTCGCAGCGTGATGAAGTTTGAAGTTCCACCTTGGGATGCACTCACACACTGAGAAAACGTTTTGGTTTCGGATGTTTTTCTCCCTTCCCTCAGGTTAAAGATAACGAAAATGATGATTAATAATCCAAGGTAACTTTAGGGAAGTAAGTAAGAGCTTTATATTCCCAAGATGAGTTTCATTTTCAAAGTCAAAAACCATGGGTGCCAGATATGTCAGATTCTAATGACTCTGATTTATGGTTTTATATTGGGCAGTTTTTCTTTTGTTAATCAATGACTGGAGTGAATAGTTTGCTGAACTTTATTTTACCTGTTCAGCCATTGACTATAACCGTCTGTTGTCTCCCATGCTCTCTCCCCAGATCGAGGACATGCAGTGGCCTCGGGGCGAGCAGGAGATTCCCAGCTCTGTCTGCAGCCTTCCCTGTAAAACCGGCGAGAGGAAGAAGGTGGTGAAAGGCATGCCCTGCTGCTGGCACTGCGAGCCCTGCGACGGCTACCAGTACCAGTACAATGAGTTCACCTGCAAACTCTGCTCCTACAACATGAGACCCAATGCCAACCGCACATCCTGCCAGCCTATACCCATCATAAAACTGGAGTGGCACTCACCCTGGGCGGTGATTCCAGTTTTCCTGGCAATGCTTGGCATCATCGCGACAATATTCGTCATGGCTACCTTCATACGGTACAACGACACGCCGATTGTCCGAGCGTCGGGCAGGGAGCTGAGCTACGTTCTGCTGACTGGGATATTTCTGTGTTATATCATCACATTCCTCATGATCGCCAAGCCAGATGTTGGTGTGTGCTCGTTCAGAAGGATTTTCCTGGGTCTGGGTATGTGCATCAGCTATGCCGCCCTCCTCACCAAAACCAACCGCATCTACCGAATCTTCGAACAGGGGAAGAAGTCGGTTACGGCGCCCAGGCTGATCAGTCCCACCTCACAGCTAGCAATCACCTCCAGCCTCATCTCGGTGCAGCTGTTGGGGGTGCTAATCTGGTTCGGGGTGGATCCGCCCAACACCATCATAGACTATGACGAGCAGAAGACCATCAACCCGGATCTGGCACGAGGGGTGTTGAAATGCGACATCACGGATCTTCAGATCATCTGCTCGTTGGGTTACAGTATCTTACTGATGGTGACGTGTACTGTTTATGCCATAAAGACCCGTGGGGTCCCGGAGAATTTTAACGAGGCCAAGCCCATCGGGTTCACCATGTACACCACCTGCATCGTATGGCTGGCTTTTATACCCATCTTCTTTGGCACGGCCCAATCTGCAGAAAAGGTAAGAACCAATGGGTGAATGGGTGGATGAACAATAAGTAGAGATGAAGGGATAAAAGATACAGTGTGGGTGAACTGCAGGATGGATGAATTTTTTGGATGATGGAAAAAACTGTGTCATATGCTTGCCAATTGTTTTGTTACAGAAACCTTTTTACTTTTTATTTTGATACATCCTCAGAAACGAAAGCGCAGTTTTGAGAATAGGTGACACAAAAACCAAAGCTGTTTTTCAATTTGCAAAACAGCAAATTTATTCTCCAGAAGGTGTTTTCTGTAACAAACTGTCACCTTATGTTAAGGCAATAACCCACAACTAAATTATAGCTACATCTGCGTCTCTGAAAGTAAGAAAGAAAAGAAAAAGACAGAACCGAGGAAATGTCAGACAGCGGAAAGAACATTATTCATACCATTGGTATAACTGCATGTTTGGGTTCAATGAACTTGAGTAGTTGGCAATTGCGTGAACGTTTTTCATTGATCCAAGTGAACCGAATGACTTCCTGAAATGATCTTCTCATATCTCTTGGTCAGTTGTGAGTGAACGTGAAACAGCATTGACAAGATAAAAAATGAACTCACATTGAATTAAAACATATTCAGGGTCTACTACGTTCAGTTTCATTGTTATTGTATTTAAATAACATACAGGATGTCAGCTGAAATATATACATTTCTCATCAAGGCTGGAGAGGAACAAAGAGGTAAAAAAAAAAACTTACTTACAAAGTATCTTTATTGTCCCTTACAGAGAAATTAATTTGCAGCCTGGATGTACAAAAATAGACATACAAAGATACACAAAGCACCAAAACACTTAACGCCACTTTGAGTACACTTAAGAGTGCACGGATAAAACCTTATGTTGACTTTAACAGTTTGCCCCCCTGACATTTTTACTGGACCCTCAGGCCAGACCGGCTTCATCCAGCCCTGAAAAGTTAAATGAATGCGTTTGCAGTTTAAAACATAGTGGGCAGCAATGCATCAAATCAGTGGAGAAAAAGTGTTAATCTCGTTTATGGAGTTTGTTCCACAGCTTTTCCAAAGAAAATATCAGCGTTAAAAACACAGACAGTTCAAAAAAAAGTCTTAAAAAAGGGAAACTTTCTGTTACACTGCAATTACAAATCGCCAATATAGCAAAAATCCATGTAAGCGGAGCATTACTGCATCATTCATAATGGGTGACTATCACTGTTGTGTCCCACTTTATCAGCCTGAAGGCTTCCAGACGAGCCTGATCTGCCACTGGAAAATAATCTCAGTCGCATTCGTGCTGAGACACGAAGGCTTTCATATGAAACTCAATGAGCCACATTTTGCAGTGAACTGAAAAAAAAAGGGACAATAACACATATATAAACCAGACAGTTAAGATGTTCTTGTTTTATTTTTACTAGTGCAGAATCCAGATGAAATTTAATGCCACAGTGTTGCTGGTAAAATATTGCATTAAGAGAGTGACATATTTCAGGAGTTATTTGTTCTCATCAGCTACTTGGTCCTGATGAAGCAGTTACAGTGTGGAAATTTAAAGGTCCCACGTTATATATGGTCGGCTTTTTGTCTTTTTTTAGGTTCTATATTAATACTGTGAAGGTATCAAAGCGCTCAGTCCACAGAGAAACACACACAGCCTGTATTCAGAAACTGAGCCTTAAAACCAGCCGTCAGGACTTCTGTTACTTTTTGATGTCAAAACCACCTGGACCCACCGTCCAACCTTGCAGGATTTGGTTTCTCTGAGTGTTTTACCTGAAATCTGCTGGTTTTTATTCCATCATTCAGAAAACAGTCAGCCAAGTGCTGTTACTAGAGCTCCAGGCAGAAGCCTGAGAGAGGAGATGTAAAACTATATTGAGATGTTTTTTTTGGTTCTTAAAACCACAAATATGTCTTCTTATGGATATCAAAACATCAAATGAACCACTGAGAAAATATATAATATGGGACCTTTAATAAAGGACAACAGATCCATTCCCCAGGTGTTAAATTGTGTTAGAATAGGTGGCCACGCTCCTCAGAGACTCAGTGTTACCGCTGTTGTTCTTGGGTCATAACAGGTTGTAAAAGCTCATTTTTCACCAAAGATCTGAAGCTGAAAGAGAATGTTATAGGAAACTTGTTAGAAAAGGTTCTCACAATAATTGGTTGACCTTTACATCTTATCACAACTTTATGAAAACTAGTGCTGAATAAAATGAGTCTGTACACGTGCAGTCTACTGAGTGGTGTTAATAAGCTTTAATGTGAGACTTAATATAATATAATATGTTTACCTGTTGTCTTGAGTTGTGGTAATCCCCCCTCCATTTGGCCACGCCCCAGCTATTACTTTAATACCTGCTTTTATATAAGAATTTGCAGTGTGTTAACTGCACATACAGTGCTCTGTCTTTCTGCATTATCATCATCAATCCACCTTATGCCCCCCCCCCCCCCACCGTTTTATATGTTTAAAACGGCGTGTAAATATATAAATACACAGATGTTTGATGGTGATTTAGTTTGGTGTTTGTCAGAGCAGTGAAAAGTTCTCGTCTGTTGAGTCCACTCTGACCGCTGACTGTGCAGACTGTGTGGAGAGTTTTGAAAAAGTGAACTCAAAAATCTGTAAGAAAAAAAAGGGACTGTATCAGGGCAGACTTACAGCTTTTCTTGATGTGATGAGCTCCCTCTGCATTACCAGCACAGTGCATTTAAATTGCATTTTGATTAAGTACAAATATCCTTCTAATACCTAAGTTGCCAGTGATTGAAGTTTTTTGGTATGGAGCTCTAAAGCTACAGCCAGAGGCAGAGATTAAGAGGGTTCTGCTGTTCCCTACATCCCGGAGGAGGAGGAGGAGGAGGAGGAGGAGGACATATGTGTGTTATCAGCAGCCTAGGTGAGTGTCCGGCCTGACACTGTGGGCCCTGGGGTTTGATCTTTGGCAGAGTCATTGGAAAGACTAAGCCTCTCTGCTCGGCACTCAGCATTAAAGAGATGGACTGGGGTAAACCCCTGTGATGGACTTGTGTCCTGTGCACAGGGATACACTTGTCCACCAAAAATGCTTCAGGCCACAGAGGCAGCTGATAAGCTCCAGGACTCTGAGCTGCTTAACAGTGTCAGGCACAGTGAGGGGAGTCCTGCCGCCTATGGCAAAACAACACCACACAGTTAATCAAGAAAGACTTTAACATCTATTACTAACTTACGTTTGATGTAAGTGGGATGATCTACAGGTGTTTTTCTGGATGCGAAGGTGTTCTAGGCAGCTTTCCAAATAAGATGCTCCGAGGGTGTTTACAAACCTGTAGTTTAGTTTTTTTGCTCAGCTCTGAATCAGTGGGTGAGTTTCTTGTAAAAGAAAAGAAAAAAATCAAGAGAAACGCAATGGATTAAACAATGCAGGTTTAAATAAGGCCCTCAGGCTTCCTTCAAGTGGACTGTGGCGCACATAGTTTGTGGTATGAAAACAAGCCAGACCAACCACAGCTCTGTTTTAATCTAAACTACTATTAAACCCAGCAGCTGATTGTGAGCTGATAAGAAAGCCAAAGCAGTCTTACTGATCTGTTTCAGAGATGTAAGCCCTGTCCAGTTCAGGGGCCGTATCCTCCGGACGCTGCATTTAAAGAGGGCGGTGCGACTAGGCTGTCACACTTCGAAGGCTATGGCTGAGAAATGCGTCTTTGTTTTCCTGGTCAACAGAGGATCCAATAGGTGGATCCTTCATGGGCCAATCTATCCAAAGATTCATCGTGCACAGGTAATGAAAATAATATTGCAGTAAAGAATGCAGACAGGGAGACACACATTAAAACATAAATAATGTGTCTTTGTAGGAAAAAAATAGTAACGTGTTTCCACGGTTGCTAGGCAACATGAGCCACATTTTGCGACACAACAGTGAGGCAAAAGCGAAAAATCCTCCACAGGTCAGACCGTCTCATTTCGGTTCGGCCTTCATGGTCTGCGACAGCTACAAAGGGCCACACCCTCGTAGACAAGTGCCGAAGGATGCGGCCCCTATATTGGTACACAGCTGTAGATATATGTATTCAAGGCAATTTTGTAGCCACGACGACATGTAAGTGCATCACTACAGCATTGGTGGTTCCTCAATAGAAAGTGAGAGAGACGCAGACACTATCCTCCCTTAATGTTATGTGACAAAACACCTCTTTGTTCTGTTTCTGTTTGCTTGTTCACCGTGTTTGACGCGAGGTCGTCTTGCAGTCTGGGCTAATAACGCGGATAATTAGTATAGCTCTTTGTGTCACCAGTCAGCTTGGGTGAGTTAATATCTCAATACAGTCCAGCACAGATATAACTATATTATTGAATATCTGCAAAAGCCTAGCCACCAGAGAGCACATCAGGCTCAGTGAAGTGCAGACTGACCCGGTGTCAGTCACCACTATTTAATTTCCCCACCTGGGTCCATGTAGCTCTGATGATGCAGGATGACATCACCAAAACTGTCCAATCTCATCTCATCTCAGATTATTACAAAACACACGCTGTGGACCAGGGGGAGCACGGACACCCCCCGAGATAAAAAAACAAATCTCATCAAATCTCCATGAATCACTCAGCTGAAGACGGAAAGGTGATAAAATATAAATTAGGATCATGAGGAACAAAAAGAAGGAGAATATTGAGGCATATATAATAAAAGAAGGAGAAAAATGTTTTAAATGATTGAAGAAGGAGAAAAATGTTTTAACAGTTCAGTTACATACATGGAAGATTACATTAACGCTGAGTTGTTTGAAACATCCCTCAATACAATACACTTCTACCATAACATTTTAAAAGAGTTAGAAGAAATAATCATAAAACAATAAACTACAGCTGCATGAAGGAGGAGAATAAAAGCTCAGTATTAGTGATATTCTGGGTTTCTTTATGAACAGGTCACATAAATAAGATAAGTTACTTTATGTTAAGGAGGAGTTGGATCGGTAATGGAAAAGGATCATAAAAGACTTTGCAGAAGACAGAGA